GATTATGTATTTTTAATGCCATGAAATCGCCTTATTACGCTCCAAAGAAAGCCCAACAAAATATAATGACAAGGTGTTAATTCGAAACGCTACCAACAGGCCATCATTCCCAGCCCGCATCGCCATCATGTCATCATGGTGATGTCTTCTTTTCGGAGCGATTGTTGATTGCTCAATTCATAAAATGGAAGTCGGAATTTTTGCAGAGCTGCTTAGGCTGATTTGACAAATCGTTATGCATTATATGATTATTAAATTAAATATAAAATGCAAGTATCATATTTATAAAGCATTTAAATCAGCCCGTTGTCTTACAACCCAATCTGACAATTTTCATTTTGAAATACCTTTAAAATACTCCTTTGTGTAAGACCCAGGGAACGCAACAAATAATTCAATAATTCATGCCGTTGTCTGAAAGAAAATCTCAACTTTTCACTTCGAAAAAGTCTTCATACTGCTGATCTCTTTAAGAATTCATAAACTCAGTTGGCTTGTTTTCTAGTACGGAACTCGACTTTCGTTTCGGGTTTGAATTTGTGATGGCTTTGACCGAAATATGAGCATGGAAAATTATTATTCACAATGGACACAGTTGCCTGCCTAATTCAATATGCGAATCAGAGAAGGAATTTCATTTCCTATGACCGAAAATTGGGCAAAAGAGAGAAAATCAATTGACCATCCATAGGAGAGAACCCACAACTGACGACATTGCCACAATTGACCATTTCTAGCAGAGTAGCTTTGCCTGTGATGAAGCTCGGCATGCGGTCCTTAGTTTCCCATGTACATCAAAGATAAATAGCCAGATTTTCGAGGCTTTCGCCAGCAGAATTTGAGGGACACGCCAAAACTGTGACTAAGACAAGAGAGCTTAGTTAGGCGGCCCTAACTGTCGGCAAGCCAATTAGTTAGCCGTAGTCATGCATTTTTCGTTGAAAAGGTTAAAGAGCGGATGCCAAGGACACTCGCCACTGCGCCTTAAAGTCCCTGGCAAACAGCAATTTCAATTAGTTCAATTACACAACTGCAACAGGAGCCCAAGTCAAGGGTGTAATGCACCGCCGTCAACGAAGGCCAACGGCAGCAACCCTTTTCGCCTTTGATGCCACCCCCGATGGCACATCAATGGCAACTTTTTGCAATTAAAACTTGAAACGTGAAAGACAATAAAAATCAATTATCTTTAATAAGCGGACAGCGACCCAGCAGCCGCTTGAATGTGCCAAAAAAGGTAAAAGGATCGCGGAAAGGCCAAAAAATTGAAGATGTATATAGCAACCCCCAAATTGCCATTGCATTTAATTAGGAACTGGATCCGGGAAAAGGGTATGTGTGGCAGTGCACTTTGACCATTGCATCCGTTCCATTAGACTGGCCCTCTAACTGTGCAGGTTGGCAATCTAGTCCAGGGTATGGGTTACCATTTTGGGGTTGCATGCGGGCTGGTGCGGCCTCGAGACACGCACCACCAAAAATGGCTTGTGATTTTTTCCCGAATACATCACTGGCAACTGGAGTGGAGTTCAGTGTAGTGGCTGCCAAGGATGCATCGTCCGCTGGTCAGACTGCAGTCTGCCAGCCTGCCTGCTCTATTTATAACTGTCTGGATGGATAGATGGATGGTTGGATGGCTGGGTGAATGGGTGGCTGGGTTGGTGGAGGATGTTGTAGGATGACGGGATGTTGGGCTGTTGGGCTGTTGGTCTGGCTGGGCGGGGTCTGGATGCAGAATTTATTTGCCATGACCATGTCGGAGTACGGAGCGTGTGGATGTGCATACTCGATGCTGCAGCATGCGTCATGCTGCCAGACGCATCGGCGGCTCTGAAAATCGCGTTTTTGGTGACGATGTCGCTGCCACCAAACGCATTGCCCGCTGACCCTTTCAGTTAAAATGAAAGGAAAAAAATTGGGAAACGTGCGTCTGGGGGAAAAGTGCAAATGACAGACGTGTATGCTGATGCTGACGATTTTATCAGATGCCAGACGAAATTTGGTGGCTGTCGTATTGCATTTTCAAACATGGGATACAGAACCGAAAACACAAACAAACAATCAATTGAATACAGCAACGCTCGGAAAATTGCTTGCATTTTATTTGGCATTCTAATTCATTACTCGCATTCCATTTTATAATATTAAAAGTAGGGTGGAGGTAGCAGACATTCGAATTGTTCTGATAAAAAATAAGGCTTATAAATGAAACTATTTTAAAACATATTTCTGTGGCCATCTAAGCCACATTTATTTAGCCAAATTCAACTATTGTTTTTTCACATTTGCAAGTATCAATACACGTTTTATTTCACACAACATACCAGAACAAATAGCATTTGGTTACACAAAAATTCGGAAAAATACCGCTGAATTGCAACACTATTCTAAAACATAGTACTCATTTTAAAGCTTGCTTTGCATAGGAGAAAAGTGTGCAATTCCTGCGCAGATACTTGTTCAAATTCTACTAGGTTTCCCTTTCGCTGCTTAGGGGCTTACCCCGTCATTAGTGGGTCAGAGCTCCATGAGCCGAGGCACCCTGGCCAAGAAGCAAGCCACCCTCTTCAGGGCTGACACATTGCCTGATCTTCCACCCTACTTTGGCGAAAGGGCAAGAACTAAATCGTTTAACCTGCCACACGATGAGTGGGCCAAAGTTCTCTGGCTTTGCCTCGTTCATGGGATTTAGCGCATCGCATCCGCCTACGAGTGCACTTAATCACATGGAAGAGCAACCAACTGGCGGCCTGCTGCTCCTCCGCCTTTTGGGCACGTACGCAGTTTGGGATGGGACATGGCATAGGTTGGGATGGAATGGGATGGGGCATGGGTCCACAGGTATCCAGCTAGCTGTAGAGCTGAAGCGTAAACGATGCCAAGTGGCAAGCGACAAACGGCTCCATCCAGTCCAGCTCCAGCGGATTTTTGCGAAAAAGGACAGGCGACGAGCGCCACTCTTCAAACGCCGAGAAGATGCTGCTTCATGTGCTAATTGCGCTGTCAAGTCAAGTGTGTGCGACGTGCAGCAGCAACAGCGGTACTAGCTGCGTCACACGGAAGCAACAGCTCAAAGGCCACCCACAAGCAGATATAAATATATACGCATATATATTATATATATATCCACACAATATATATCATATATACATATATCCAGATGAGCAGACCATTAGGCGTTGTTTGAGCGCAGGCAAAGAGAAAAATTGTTGCATACTTTGCGCGGCCGCAAGAAGAGCAAACAACTCGCTTTTGCTCTCTTTCCACTCACTCTTTTGCCATTTTCTCATTATCCGCCGGCAACACAACAAGAATTTTCCGCAAGGAAAAGCGCCCGCCGAAATTAAGTAATATTCCAGAGCTAGCGATGCGAACAACTCGCCCAGGATCGATAAACCATCGAACACGCTGCCTGTTTATCATGTGCTCCGGACTTTATTAACGCCTGCCTTTGCCAGGCTTCAACATTTATAGCGAATCGAGCGCAGATAAGCGCCGGCTAACAAGAGTTTTCCCAGCTAGCCACCCAGCCAGCCAGCCAGCCACCGCCGCTGGGGAAAATCGATTTTTCCAGCCCTCAACGCAACAAGAGCAGCAACAATTGCTGTTGATGTTGCTGCTGTTGCTGCTGCTGCTGCTGCTGCTGCTTCTGCTGTTGATGTTGCTGCAGCATTTGGAATTGCTGCTGCCGCAGGCGGCGTGGGTGAGAACACAAGTTCGGGCTGTGGAAAATTACAATGGTTGCCGGCGGCCAGGGAAAGCTGCAGGCTAGTTGCAGTGCAAGCTGCAACACTGCTGTAAACACGAATTCCCTCTACATATTGCAATACTTGTAGCCCATCAATATAGGATCTACATTTTACAAACGTTTTTCAAGATATACCTACATATATTATGCAGCTAAGATAAGACTTTACGAATGCATTTTAGTATTACATACGCTGATTTCGAAAATCATAAGCAAATCATTTTGAATTGCTAAGTAGGTACTTCGATTCGGCACTAGAACTTAGATCCCCTTTAGGATGTATTAATGACATCGTAAAGAAAACTTTTACACAAAACGTGAGCAGAATATAATCATTAGCTTTTTCCCATTTTGCGATAGAATTTGTTTGATTCAATGAAGTACACGCAACAACTTTTTGTTCTCGTGAAAGAAAACAATCTCGAACCTTTATATTAGAAGCTAGCTGTCTTGATTTTCGTTAGAATTTCCAGCAATATTGAATATAAAAAGCGTTCCAGCTCCGATAAAACTGAACGATATCGTGGACAGACTCGCAATCGCGACTCCCCGATAAGCTCCATGCAATTCGGCGCTTCAACCCCCAATTCGGAAAACTTTATCACAATCAGCGCAGCAACTACCACCATCACTACAGCGGATTTATCAGCAGTGCCAGCCGCCCCTGACGCCCATGGCCACCCATCAAAAGAATACACACAAGGGATCAGGAAGCGGGAAAAGGTGGTGAGGGCTGATTGAGCGGGTGCCCGAAAATACCCATTAATACTGGACTGGAATCGCATCTGATAAGGGTGGCTCCGGTGGATCACCCACCCCCCAGCGAGCTTTGTGGGCCGATGGAAAGGTGGGATCTGCACTGCGAATTACTTTTGCGAACCTAAGAACTTGTTTATAAGACTGAAGCAGCTTTGATCTTTGATTTGATTCCGTTCTAAAACCTGAGAAGCAAACTATTTGAAACTACTTAACAGTCAGAATTTTTGAATTTGAATTTTAACTTTTTGAAGTAGAAGATTGTAGAAATAGGATATTCTAACCCCAAAGGTTCAAAATGATGATCTACTCAAAGTACAAGTACACTGATCATAAAGAGAGATTTATTTGAAATCAAGAAAAGCGATCAGCTTTCAATCGTTTTTTCAAATGCCCCATGTCCTTTGTGTTTTGAGTTCAGAGCCTATTTTTCAAGTGTAAAATCGAAGGACTCCCAGCGCGCCATCCGAAGCACATAACAGGTAATGGTACTCACCCTAGCATGCATGTGCACATCGTTTTCCCCGGGCTGCTGGACTCCGGTGCGGATCTTTTTGTTCTGCGGCCCCTCGGTGACGACTATGGTGGCCCCTCCTCCGCCGGCGCCACTGGCGCCACTGCCATTACTAGCGCCGTTGTAGGGCATTGTGGTCGCCGTTGCGAACTGGAGCGAAATCTCGGGGCTGATTAAAGTTTGTTGGTGTAGAATTTTGGCGGATTTTTGAGGCCTGAGCCCAGTGGTTGCGCGAAAGATATATTCAAGTGACGTGCGACGAAGCCGCGCGAAGATCGAGATCTGGTTAAAACGCTCTTAAAAACGCGCGCGCGATTTTTCTTTTATTTTGTGTGGATCACCACTCGAATCTCCTGGGCGAGAAATGAGTTGTAAATGTTTACTTTGTAATTGGTGTTGAATGTGGGATGTTTGGGTTGTTGTTTATATGATGGTGTAGCTGTTGTGGGCTCTTCTTCTCATTTATTTACTATTCGCCTCGCTTCAACTTCCTTCTTTGGCGCTGTGTAAAACACTTTCAACTTTTTTATTGCACTCGTGATTTAAGTGATAAATTTTCCGGTTTCCTCTGGATGTTCTTGTGAGTTGGATTTACCAGCTGCAAGGCGTGTAAAAGAGAGAGAACAAGCGGTGAAGATTTTATTAGTACAAACCAAAACAAAAATTACGATTCAAAGTGGAGAGTAATCATTTTGTTGGTCATTAAATCGGCAGGCGAAACTTTGACATTAAATTGCATTTCCAATTTCCTGCAATTCCCTGGATGCCACTTAGGCACGATTCGCAGCTTGAATGTGTTATAAAAATAATTTAAATGTTTTTCGTAATTCAAGGGAATTTAATTTGCTCAAAGTCCCACTTGTCGAAAACCCATAACCACTTTTATCTTAATGGCGCTACACGCAATCAAAACCTTTTCTGAGCTCTACCTAATAATTAATTAATTATAACAACGCAGAAAGTGTTTCATCTCAAAAAATATTACTTTAAAAGTAGAAGTATGATTCTAAAAGGAACCTCAATTGGAAAGACCATTTGTTTCGAAAATAGTCTCAGTACTGTCTTGTTAGAATCCAATTGGGTTAATTATTGGGCTTCACGGTCGAATGGACGAAATGGATCAATTATATATTTTTGGGAAATAACAATGGCTGGAGTGGAAATACATAACGACAGCTATATGAATGACAATGCATAATGCGTTCTAATTGGAAAGGTAAGCCAAGGGCATTAATCAAAGGACAAAACGAAGGAAAATTGTGAAACAACCCTCGGAAAGTTGTCAAAAACAGATGGAAAAGCATCGAAAAGCGCCGGCAAATAACAAAGCAAAAAGGGAACGGTAAGAAAGCCGAGGAAAGGAATAGGGCCGAAATGTCAGGATGAAGAAAGAGAAGAAGACGAAGCAGAAGAAGCAAAAGAAAGCAGTGAAAGCAGGACGAACGAAGGGTGCAAAAGGCACTGTCAAAAATGTGAAAAAATGAGTGCTGTGAAAATCGCGTAAAAGTAAACTTGAAAAACTTTTTCGGACCGTTTCGAGCACAACCCTTATGGAAAATGGAAAATGCCCAGCACACTCACAATCACATACACACGCACACACACACACACACATGCAGAGGGAAAAGAGCGACACACGGACAGACGGCTGACTTTGTTTTGGTTGTGGGGGTGGATTTTTCATTAATGGAACTCAACGGCAAAGCTGAACGCTGAACTTTGTGACGTGCGCTTTTCTATTTTGTTTTCATATGCGGCGGCAATTGTTATTTCCCTATTCGTTTGCATTTTCGCTTACAAAATGGTGGAACGCGGCAAGAACAAATCGAAATAATGGAAATTTCGAGTGCACACACACAGTAAATTATCCGAATTTCAATTTGGCAAATTTTAAATTTAAGTTTTTTTTTAAACAATTTTCGTTTTTCTTTCGTTTTTTTGTTGTTTTTTTTTTTAATTTTGCAATCACATAGCTTAATTTTCAAAAAGTGTGTGCTGCGAAAGAACCGAGTGTAGAACACTGAGTGAAAAAATCAGCGACTGTGCACCTGTCAAACGGGAATGTCTGGATGACAGTTCATCGACTGATTGTCAACTCTACTTCACTTACTCCCAAAAAACTCCGAAACACTTGGCAACACACACGCACGCAATGTGAATGAAGAAACGCGAGATGGTGGGACTAAGTGAAAATTTCTAACGTTCGCAAGGAGCTTTTCCGACTCGGATTTTCCCAGTTTTTCCACTTCGACGCCGAGCTGGCGAATGTCAGTCAAATGCAAGAAGTGGAAACCTGCGAGCAAAGAGAGGGAAAGCCAGAAAGAGAAAGAGACGGGGCGAACGAGAGAGAAAGCCGTCAACTAACGGTCGGCGCAGAGAGCATTTCTCTAAGGGTTGCAAGGTGTCCGAAAAGGAGAGCGGCGAGAGCGTTGCAACTCTAATTCTCTCTCTCTCCCTCATTCTCTCTCGCGAGAACTACCTTTTGCCTGGCCCTTTTGTGCTGAATTTTCGTGGGTGGCAAAGGAAAAATCTTCCGGTTGTTCTTATTCAACAAATGTGGTTTCTGTTTCTGCTTTGCACACACTCACACGCACACACACACGCACACACTGGATTTTCATTTGCACACACAATCGCAACTTTCACCGTTAGCGCCAGCTTTTCTTTTTACCTGGCCTTTTCGCTGCGCTTTTTGCACTTGTCTCGTTGTTTATTATTTATGCTTATTCGCAGTCTTTCGGCTTTTATTTTGTTGCTGCCTCTTTTCAGTACACAAACAAAACGCGACGGCGGCGAGAGTGTGACAGGGAGACGGGGAGAGAGAGCGACAGACACAAACAACAAACAAACAACAACTCGCTGCGTACGGGGGAGCGAGACGGCGACAATCGATAACCGTAGACAACGCGTGAAGAAGAGGCAAAATATCAACAACAACGACAACGACGCCGCGGAAGTATTTAATTAAGCCAAAGTATTTAATTTAAGCGTACGAATGCTTGTAAATGTGTACGCAGAATGCACGGCACCCACACGAACGCACGTATTCATCAGCTTTTGTTGTTGTCGTCGCTTTTCTTTCAGCTACTTCTGCCTTCCTCTTCTTTGTTTCTCTTTTATTATTTTTTATTTGCTTCGCCACTGGATTTCCAACCGTGCACAAAGTTTTAGCTCGAACCTCGAAGATTGTTTGACGCGAAAACCAACCGAAAACCAAGCAAAAACCTCAGATACGTTTTTCTCCCTCTGCCGCAGCGACGTCGGCAGAGGCAGCGTACATTTTTCTGCCGCTTTGCTCTCTTAGCCGCTGCAGTTGGCTGAGAAAATGAGAGCAGCGGTCGCCAACTGCCTGGCGTCGACGTCAACGTCGCTGCCGCTCGACCGTGGTCAAAACGTTGGTTTGTACGGCGAAAATTATGTGTCTGAAAAATGTTATAAACTTATTAAAACCTTTGGCTTTTGTTATTTCTATATTAAATTTTAATTTTTAATGTGATCACAGCTTGGAGCTGTTTAGAAATACAGCCGAAGCCTAAAATAATATAAATATAATAAACTTCACCTTTCAAGCCGAGGGCCAAAATGGCTTGTTTTGGTCACTGTGCGCTGCCGCCGTCGTAATGAGAAAATGAGAGCTGTATTATTTTTGTAGTGCTTTAGTGAGAGCAATACAGTCGCACATGCTGCGCAGTGTGTGCGAGCAGTACGGCGTTAGTTTTGCGCTTGTAATGCTGCTCTGTTTCTCTTTTGCTTTCTTTACAGCCGCGCGCACATCTCACAAATACAACTTTAACGGAGGCACATGCACGCAGTTATCTCTCGCTCTCTCGGCTGTCGATGTAATGGGAAATTGCGAAATTTAGCAGCGTACAGTGGGACAAATAATGGTAATTTTCAAGAATTACTTACTTGGTTTCTTTGTTTTTTGTGCCAATAAAAAGTTAATATAGAACTTTAAAAATCGCATTTTATATTTGTACCACATATTTTCAATTTTGTTTAAGATATTTGGCTCATTTAAGTTTTCCAATTGACTCTTAAGAGAGTTTCATTAAAGAGAGCATAACAGCACATCCGACAAATTTGTCGATATCGTTCTTTTAATTTTCAAAGCGAATAAAGGATGTTCTTGGACGATTATTTTGCGGTTATCGTTTAGCGGACTCTTAATAAAAGGTAGAACCTTAGATGTTTTTAAATGTATTTTTTAATAATGTAAAATAGTACGGCCAAGGTTCTCCGAGTAAGATCTGATTGGGCCCGTAACCAACCGATTGCGGAATCCCGCCCACTTTGGCGAAACCCACACATGACTTTGAGTGTCCAGGACGTGCTCCGTGTTCGTCTAATGCCAAAGTGCACCGGCCAGAGCAGCAACAACAGCTAGCTGAAAGGTAAACAACATAAACTATTTAGTCTATGGGTGGGCGTATATACGCTTCGAGTCTGTGGGGTTGGGATGGGTCTGCATAATGGGTACGCACCGTAGTAGTCGAAGGACCCAAGACCAAAACCACACTGTTCAGTAATGTTTGCGTCATAAAGTATGGATTAAACTGCATATGGGCATGGCTATCGTTGTGTGCCCCAACTTATCGCGGAACACCGTGCAGCACTTGTTGCAGTATTCAAGTGGTATGGGGATTATCTTCATATGGTGACCTTCCCAACATCTGTAGAAAAGGCACCTAACAATAAGCCATTGGCTAAGCGGGGTACTAATAATACTTTAAATAATATTTAAAGAATGTATGTCCGCTAAGGCGCCACCTGTTGCTGATTAAAAACTCGTTGCATAGTTTATGGCTGAGCTTTTTAAAAAGTAATTTCTGTTAAGCCCGAAGTTATGCAATAGTTTCGTTTATGTTGTGCAATTAGTTAGAATTCATATTTTAACAATTTCTATAGTAAATTCGTTCTGCTTAGGCTGTAACAAATGCGCAGATAATCGCAGATGCAGAATCTGGTAACCTTTACTTATTTACTAACAACCAAATGAACTGGGTATTATTTTTGCAACTTCTTGGAGCCTCCATAACCCTCGTATTTGGAGCACCATCACAATGCAGACCAGATCATATAAGGATACTTGATGACTGCGTGATGTTGAGTAACAAGCTTCGGATAAACGGAGTCGCGTTTGGAGGGCAGCATTAGAAATTCGGTGTTAATTAAAGGCTTTCGCAGCTTATACTCGCAAATACACTTGACCATTTTTCAGCTTAAAAGTGAGGTAAATCAGTTTAAGGGGCGCTAAGTAAGTGGCCTTTTCTGGCTGCCAACTTTCACTTGATTGCGGGTTGCCGCATACGCTCGCCCTCTTGAAGGCTCCTTTAATGCCCACGCACGCAATGTGTCCCCCAGCAGGATGCATCCTGGGAGCACCAGCTCCCGCTCCTCGGAAGGCCGATAAGCCGACGCTATCAACGCCTTACATCCGCGCGTGTCTGGGCAATGGGCTTACCCCTGCCCACCGCTTCGCGCATCCTTAGCTCCTCCCAGCATCCTGCATCCGCTTCCGCTGCATCTGCCGGCGCTTGCTATCCTGTTTTAGCCAGATTTACAACCAAGCGAACTTCGCGAATTCCGTTGCTGCACGGAGATAAAACCCTAGTATAGTAGCAAATTTCAAAGATTAGAAATAAATATACTAAGGAAATATAAACTAACAAACTTGGCTATAACTGTTGAGAAGTGAGATATATTAATGTATACGATAAAATTAGTATATATCAACCCATTAGGATTTCGCATTTATAACATTTTAAAGTTTTTAATGCTAAATATGTATAATTGCGTGATCTGTGTTTTGTATCTTTTGGCTTAATTCTTGACCACATGTGCCCCTTCCTGTTACCGTGTAAATGAGAGTGTGTGCTAAGCTGCGGCCCCGCCGGAAAGTGAAATGCTTATGAAAGCGTCCGGCTGCCCCAGCCACCCAGCTATTTGACCTTCCTTGGCGCATTTGCCATGCAAAATTTAATATATAACCGTAAGTGAGCTCGGATTCCTGCTAATTTGCCAGCTGAAGTATGCTCGAAAAGCAGTCCCAGGGATGCGGGCTGCAAAGTATGTGTGGATATCCGCTTTTCCGGCTCCTGGCCATTACAGACACTAGTGCTCCAAAAAAAGATAAACAATGAAGTCTTGACCCAGTTCAGAGTGGCTTTTTGCGCTGCCCTCTGTCATCATCATCCATGTGGCGTGGGTGGTGCCAAATCCACCAACTTTGCATACAAAAACGGACGCTTACCAAAATTGAGACAGCAACCGGAGCTACGTGGTGGTACGAGCTAACCCGATACATTTTCCTTACATTTTTCCTTCTTTTTTTTGTTTTTGGTCTGGTTGATATAGGGCAAAGTGCAGTCAGACAGTCATTGGATCATTTGTCTTGGCATTGTTGCTTTTTCCTCTAGATTTCTTTTTTGGGCTTCCGTTTTTATATCAAGCAGCGGGTATTTCTTCAGGCATTTCAGTTCAAAGGTTTGGAGAACGGAAGGATGCGACATTGTAATCTATATTTTATAATGTTTTGTAATCTATATAGGCTTTGGGAAAAAACCAAAGTAGCCAAACTAATTCACAAGCAGCCGCTTAATTTCCAAATCATTACACAGTTTCATTGTAAGATGCAATATCATGCTCATTCAGTTGCAATTCTATTTCTACAACTCTTACAATGTTTAATACCTAAATTTTTCGGGCACAAATTGTAGAAACGAAAAACTAACATCTTTGTATAGAATAACCATGTGTTCAGTCATTTAAAAAGGTCGTTAAAGTTCGAAAAAAAGAGATGAAACCATTAAATTATATTAAAATATACGCTGTGACTAACACATGTATCAAAGTGTTATTTATAATTAACTGCTTAAACCTCTTAGTTGTGCACCAATGTTTCCGTTCACCCAGCATTAAAGCCAGCGTAATAGAAATATGAAATTAAATTATATCAATTTAGGGTTTTATCACCATCTTTTTTCGTTGCCAATTAGCAGACAATGCATTCGTTAACTCCTTTGTAATCTGGCCGTAGGGTGCTGCATTTCCCCCAGATCTCACATTTTAAAGCATTTTCGGCCGAAATGACGCTCTCGAAACGGCCCACACAGATACACCACACACACACACACACGAATTTTGCTGGAAGGGAGAAAAAAAGTTACGAAAGCAAACAGAATCACTGCCCCCTGACTGGAGCTGAATGTTCAGAGCAAATGAAGGTGTCAAAATGACAAGCAGAGACAGCTAAAAAAAGAAAGAAGGGAAGCGAAGGATGCACACACTTACACACACACAGACATATGTACACTGGAATCCAAGAGGAGTGGGTAGGACGTGCGATGGATGGATGTCCGCCCTACTGGCCGCCCCTTTTTGGAGCCGCCCCTTCCGCCTGTTAGCCCGGCTAACTGTGTAAATGGCAAAGCGACAGCAGCATTTGCTAACTTTGCTGCAGCAGCAACAAAGGCCACAGCACAGCGCCAACAAAAACTACATAAATGTATCTATATCTATATCTATCTAAGCGATGGCCGTGCATTGTATTGCAGTTACGTGCTCGATGGTCCAGCAAAATGGCGAGGCGAAAAAAATCTCTGAAACAAAATCAACAAAGAAGCACCAAGAACAGCAGGGGTCTTTTCGTTCGAAAAGTCTTGAATACACTATTCGTATAAACACTTGGAAGCACTTCTCCTTGAATAGCCAGATCACATTTAAAAAATAGATTTATACCCGCTGTGTATTGCTGAAAATATTCAGAAAGCTTGTAGAAATATTTAAGCAATTAATTTTTAGAAATATTTGTATTGTATTTATACTTGTGTGTAGCGATTTAGTTTTTTCCTAACCCACAAGATTATATATTTAATAAAACTAAAAACAAATATGCTATAAGTGAACATACCGAAGAGCTAAAAGCTAGAGTATCGCCGATAGAAAAGAGCCAGCAAAACAGCTTAAAGACTTTGACTGTGCCAACTGCTTACCCACTTGCCAAATTCGCAAAGCGGATTTAGCTTGTAGCCAAACTTTAAATGAGTTCAAGCTGATTTGGAGCGCACATCGAGCTTCAACACCGCCCCCTTTTCCAGTTACGCCCACGCCACCGCCCCTCGCCGCCATTGATGACTGTAATTCTGGCGCTGATGAAGCATAATGATGATGGCTTTGCCAGATTGATTGATTGATAGCTGAAGGATTGGTCGCGAGCGGCGGTGCCCCCTCAATTTGCACTTGAAACTTAAGCGCACGGCCGGCCGCAAATGAATTCCTAACAAGAATCTCAAGAAATTCAGATTGCTCATACGCCGCGTCAGCCGTCGTGCGGTGTATAATTTTAGACCATCAACGATGCACCACATATAGCGCCCCATCCTCGGCTCACTGCCCCCCTCTCGCGGCACGACCAATTAATTTCGTTCAAATAATTATGAATGTTGGAATATTTTTTGTACACAATTTTTGTTATTTCAGTCGCGGCAACGAGCAGCGCTTTTTTACGGCGGCCGTGAGCCGGAAGTGCAGCAAAAACTGTCGCACCAGCGAAGCTGCGGGCACATGGCCTTTTCGATCCGCCTCGGCGGCGGGAATGCCAGTTGCATTCGGAATGGATCAGTGGACGGGTGTGCACCGGGCGTTCGTCATACGCGCCTACTACAAGAGCAACGACTCCATCAGCACCGCCCAGCGGCTCTTCAAGAAGCAGTTCAGCATTTACCAGACGCCGCCGACGAATGTCATCAAGTCCTGGCTAAGGCACTTCGAGAGCACGGGCTCCTCGCAAGGAGGCTGCGGCGGATATGCCAGATCCTCGCTGCCAGTAAGTGCAGTTCTTAGGCCCAGTAAGGATAGTATAGGATAGTGTAGAGTTGCAGTTCATATTTTTAAAGGGAATTTTACACTCTGCGAATATACATTTTATTGAAGCACATAGAAGAAAATCCTTCGTTTGATTGATTAAATAGTCGCCAAGTTTGTGACGCATCTACGAGAACTTTAAGGACGTGGACTGCATTCTGCAAGGTTTATCTTACTACTGGAATTTAGTTTTACAATTTCATTGCTCAAATTGGCTTCCCATTAAAAGGCTATTCGTATCATTTCAGCAAATCTTCTGTACCATCTGCAATCAGTGCCTGAGTAATGAGAAGAACTTCAGCAGCTCCGTGAAGTAAATATGACATGGCGCATAAGTTAAGCTGTTTATCGTGTATAAGTTAGTGTGTATGGTTCGCCAATAAATTTCTTGGCTAATTAACAAGCTTGCCAAATCAACACATCTGCCCGCTGGCTGGCTGGCTGTCTTGACCCACTTGCTCGCTTGCATTGCTGAAAAATGTATACGCAAAAACCAAAATCAGAAATTCCTTTGAGCAAGTGTGTCATGAAATTGCCATTCGTTTCTGCTCTATATACCTGGGCAGCACATAAAACAAATATTTTCCAAGTATACCAACCGACGGGGGTGTACGCATCACGTCAACGCCGCAAATTGGTAAGTAATCCAGCCAGATTAAATCGAAATTCATTGGCATTCCCCCCACCCTCTCCATCCATTAGGTTGGTTCCGCTGCAAATTTTTCAGGCTCAAGTATGTCACTCTGGTCCCAGCTGAAGCCGATGGAGTGGTGTAGTTCCGTCTACAGGGACCATCATTCCTGGTCATTCGTCAAGTGTTCCTTGGCATTCTGTGCCGGCGTGCTCCTCGTCCGAAGCCTCGATGGAAAGCTGCCGGACAGCAGCTAGAACTCCGAAATTTAGACCTATAACTAATTGAGTGTAGGATCATATTGCTAGTCATCCAGCCAAATTGTATTCAAAAACGGAGCGAATGATTTCAGGATGACTCAAACGCTTTAAATTTCTCTGGTATTTCGTTTACTTGTTGACTTGAATAAAATTACTAAAAATTTGATGTGAAAATATGCATTTATTTTCAGACAAGCTATGGCCCAACACCAATGATCGCTATTCGAATTTAGTAGTATACTTTTGGCCCACTTTTACACTACCTTCCATTTTTCCTAAATATTAAACAAGCCTTCGATTCAGTTCTCATGGGCTTCAGCTCATCCTTAGTGGCCTTCGTGACTTTCATTTGGTTTATGACACAACTCAAGCCTTGCGACCAATCAAAGTCCCAGTTGTCAGCTTTTGGCAAAAAGTAAATCTCATATTAGCCATTTTCCGGCACCTTGCCGAAAATGTCCACTTTGGGGGAATATCATCGAACTGTCATGTTACTGTGAGTAAAAAACCATGTGTGAGTCCTGTTGACAGGCAAGCTGGAGTCGGATGATTCCATAAAATGATACATGCGCTCATCCCACTTACAGATTACAATCGGAAAATGCGCATAAGGTTTTACATTCTGGCCGTCTTTGGCATTAGTTTGAGATATGTGTGCCGTGAGAGCATCCTGCCCCGCGGCAAAGAAAATAAAATTAGGCGTCGCTTTTTGCCATAAACATAAAAATTGTTCCTGCGCCTCAGGAAGCTGTCTTTCCAGCGAAGAACATCCATAGCCACCAGCGATTCCTTGGCATCATAATTTCGAAATGACAGGTAATTTGGAAGCAGCAAAAGGAACGGGAAGTGGAAGTGGCATCTCGATGGTCTTGGGGCAGGGGATCGTGCAAAGTGCGAGCACCAAATGGGAAAATGATGCGGGTTTATTAAGTATCGTTACTCAAGAGGAAGACCTGCCCAGATACCCAGATACCCCGAACCAAATCCCTCGCAACAAATTTATGATGCGCCGTTTCCAAAAAACGTACCGCTACCCCCAAGAAAAAATGCAGAAAAATGTATTTTGTAAATATACTCGAGATGTAATAGTGGGGGTGCTACATTACCTACCCAGTGATTTAAGCTCGGGGAAAAATGCTGCCGCACATGAACATGCAACTAATGAGCTGAGTTATTTCCAGTGGGTTGGCGGGGCAGCAGTTTCCTGGTTTGTGGAACACGCCGCGGGAGCTCAGCTTCTTTGGTCCGGGTGGTTTAAACCCTAATTGAAATTTAGATAGCTGCTACGTGTGCCAGCCGGAAAATCATCGCCAGGTGTCACGGCAGGTGATGAGTTAAACAGCCGGAATGGCGAAATGCGTGCGGAAATTGGCCCCGGAATGCCAAAGGATCAAGTGTCGACACCAAAAGAATTTCCAGGTCAAAAGGCTGGGCTGGGGAAGGAATGCAATTAAGACAAAGGCTTGCAATTTATTACACTCGTACGTCTTTGCAAGCAGTCGTTATTAAACTTTAACTGAATTAAATGTATAATATATACTTATAAAAGCTGATAGTGGTGTTTGTCTTCTGAGAGTAATAATGCGCCTTAAATTGTTTCAAGGACAAGAGAGCGTTTAGTTTGGTAGTTCGTATCTGTGATATCGAAGTAATTACAGAAATTATCTGGCGCTTCAGCGGCCATATTTCATTATAGAGAGCCTGCAGCTCGTTTAAGATTTGGCTATTGACAATGGCGCCATTGACGTGAATATTTATTGTGTGCCCCGGCTTTTTCATAATGTTGGATTATCTAGGCACATGTCCTGCCACGATTTATGAGCCAGGAAGAGCACACAAGAGGTTGAGGGGAGGGAGGGGTGGCCGAAAACAAAACCAAGAGTCAGCTTTAAGCCGTAAGGAAATTGAAATCTTAAGCTTTATTGTTTTACTGGCCCCTCGTCCTTTGCCATTCAACTGGGGATCTGTGTGTGCTCGAAGCGACGCATGCAAAGTGAAGCAGGAAAGTGAATAAAACTGCAGCAAAAGCAATTTTCATAAATATTTAATGGATAATGGCGAAAATAAGCGCAAGGAGCAAGACACATTGGCATGATGAAAGGGCAGGGAAATGGCCGTCCGCCTGCTTTTCCCCTTTCCCACTCCCTTTCCCATTTTCCGCACCATCTACATTCTCAATGTATTGTTACGGGTGTGTTTGTGTAGATACATGTATGTGCCCCTCTCATCCAGGCACTTCAGCCTCCACCGCTCCACCGCTCCGTATTGATATGTCAGCATAACATATGTGGGCATTTCCCCGAGTGTGTGTTCGCCAATCTCAGCTTTTAGTTTCGGCCCAAGGCCCAGTGATTCTCATTAAAATTACAACACAAATAAAGCGAGCCAGGATGGCATGAGTTGTATCGACTGTTTTGTTTACTTGTGATTTATTGGCCAAAAATACGGTTAAACAGCTCAAAAGTTGGCCATAATAAATACATTTTAAGCGTTTTTTAAACGCAAACACATCGTTGTAAATTAACCAATTACATGCCATTTACCAATGCCTTAAATAGTGTCCATTTACTATTTTTATTTATTTTATTAAATAAACAAAACTGATAAATGCGTTAATGGCGTATCTATGGTGCTCAAAATGCTTTCCAAATTCCATTCCCTTCGTAGAGGAAACCAATTGTTTGCTCTGGCTATTGCAAAATAATTAAGATATCAATGCCGAAAATTCGCAAAGCCAAAATGTTAGATACCCCTTATGGCCGCCAATTACAGCGTATGAAAAGCCGGCGAAATGAGGGTAAAATTCACGCGAAATGGAGCAGCCAGCGAACGTGAGAGCCCGTCCATTGTCTTTATCCTGGCGCTTTTCTGCCTTCTGCTGCTCCTCCTGGTCGCTGGAGTCCTTTAAGTGTGCCCATTACAGACGGCAGAAATCATAACAATAAAAGTGGATACGGGGCGGAAGGACAGAGGCGGTTGGCGGATGGCGGATGGGCTGTTTGGGGCCAGAAAGCTCCCCTCACTTAATCGATGATGATGAATAATTGATTCGCTGCGATGCGCCCAAGCATGGAAATGAAAATGTCGGTGCATGCGGGGAGCGGCTTTCTGCTTCTGTTTCTGTTTAAGTTTCGGTTTCAGTGCTTCCTTTTTCGCACGTGTGTGTGTGTGTGTGTGTGTGTGCCGGCGTGTCCTTCTGTGTGTAACGAATGGCAAATTTCAGGAAGCGGAAATGGCAATTGCAAGCGATGGGAAAAGGCAGCAGAAAGACAACGGCTGAGGCAAATGTGAAGTTGTGCGCTAAATGAAATGCCAACACAGCAACACGGCAACACGGCCGTGCAAAGCGGAAATAGCAAATGCGAATGACGCTGGATTGTTGGACGGTTGGCTGGCTGGATGGCCCAAAAATGGCGGTGGATGGGGGTTTTGGGGTGACAATGGGTGTCCTGTGTGTCCTGGCTGTCCTGGGTGTCCCGTGCAGGTTGGGCAGACAGGTGCCAAGGCAGACAATTTGCCGGTATTTAAATTCTATTTTAAGTTCTGTTCAAGCGCGTCAGGAAGCAAATGTTAGAAAATGGATGGCCGTGAATGGTGGACACCTTTCCAACCAATATGGCTGCAAGGTCTTAGGCCTCCTCTTATATATTTATGGTACTTATTATTTAAAATACAAGTTTACAATATTTAGCGAGGAATGAACCCAAATAATAATTTCTTAGCTCTGATTACTCGCTATAGTCTTTAAAATGACTAGCAATTTTTAGGTCATTTGAGTTTGCATTAGCTTGAGATTAACAAATTTCTCAAATGACTTTGAGCGTTATAACAAAAAAAGCTGTTTTTAACACCATGAAGCTTTATATTCACTGCCATTTTAAATGAAAATAAACCTGATCGACGCCAAAGGAAGAATCCTATTGCATTAAAGAATATTCTCTTTATTTTTTCTCGTGAATAAAGTTTCCTTTTTCATTTCACATTTTTTTCATTATTCCCCGGGCTACGTGCTTAAAAATATAATCGTATTGAATATTTAAATGCTGGCCTGGGCAAAAGTCGCCAACTGGACGGGAATCAAAATCAAATGCAATGCCTGCGGCTGCTGCGACTGCTGGCTGCCTGTCAGCCTGGCGCAAAATTAGATTTAAATATTTTGGCATTTCCCATCAATTTTCATATAATGCAAGCCCATCCCTTTCGCTGGGATGCAGGTCCTGTTGCATGGAGGAATGCTGATAGTGAGTGCGATTCGTCTGTGGCAAGTTCTTCCACACACACACACTCACACACACACTCACACATCGATGTGGATGGAAAGACAGGCGCACACCACCACACATGCTCAATCATTTATGCAGCAATCAGTGCTGACGTCTTTTCCACACGTACGATTACCGGCATAGAGAATCGAGCCCTACTCTCGGTTATGTGGAGCATATTGGGAATCGAAATTGAGTGCGGGTTAACAATGAGGCAGTTGAGATTGCAGGCAGCTCCCCTCGAACTTCTGTTGCTCGTGGGTTTCTTGAATTTAAATCAATGTCCCCGGCGTCCACTGCGTATGAGTAATATTATACAAGGATGCACGGGTTTCAACGTAATTTAATTTAGTGTGCACAGCAGGTGAACAAAAAATGCATGAGATATACATTCAAACAATTGTAGTGGAGTTTTTTAGTTGACCATGTTAAAGGTTACGAACTTTTTATAAATTTGTTAAATTAAACATTTAATTTGAGTAAACAATCCTTTCAGCGAACAGAAATTACTCCTTTTTCGAGGTGCAACCGTGAAGTGCGACTGCACAAAAACGCGATTGGATTACTTGATGGTTGAAATCAAATTAAGTCAAGTGAATAAATTGACTTTTAGTGCATATCGAAATCGCCAAAAGCGCACCCAAATAAAAATGAACTAAAATTGCAATGAACAAATACTTTGAAAGTGATTCCACAGAAAGTCAACGTTTGCTGATGAAGAAGTCGGAAAACGAAGCTAAAAGTAATGGTTATAGTATATATATAAGAATGCTGCAAAGGAACATTTCCTTATTTTTGGGAAAGTAGTCACTGCATATACTGCTTTCTGACGAACTCGTACAAATTCAAATTATTATATTAAACAGTGAAAAAGATAGGTTATAGTTTAATATCTTTAGAATGGGTAACGAAGATTTATTGGACTTTACTAACCTAATCAGCTGCAAGGGCAGAAATCCGGAATTAACGCTGCCCAACATCCTTCCCATTAAGGATATCAACGCCTTCATGACCGAACCCAAAAACTTCAACGTAGCCATCGATGACTTAATCAAACGCCAGGAAGTAAATGCACAGCAATGTCGCAAGGTACTTCAAGTCCTAAAGGAGCGGCTTAGTCTGAAGATTTCAACGATGCAAAAGCTCAAGAAGGATCTGCAGGATTTGCATTCGGAGATCAAACAGCCCGGAGCAGACACTCGTTTTGTGACCAACCATGAGAAAGTTAAGGTGCATTTCCTGGACGAGACGGAAGTCAGCGAACACGAAGTGTCCGTCGCCCTGGAACGTTGCAATATAAAAATGAGCTCGATCTATTGCGAAATCCTGGCCTTGGACAGCGATATGGGCAGTGTTGTCTACTTGGAGCGGGTCTCCCAGATCAACATAGAGTATATAAAGCATTGGTATAATACTGAGAAGCAGAATAAGAAAAGAAAGTCCCTTTCCGCTGGCAATGGCCTCAAACCAACTATTTAACTGGTTCCCTTTTTGTTTTGTATGTATGTTTTACTCAATCGCAATGACTTTTGCACTGTTCTGCGTAATAAATTTGTATCGCGCCATGCAAATCTCTGTGATGCTTTCAGTATGAGATTGAATAGCTTGAATTTCCAGCAATGAAATTAGCCTTAAGTAGTCTGCTCCTCTCTTAAATCCGCTTCCTAGCAATCGTGTTTCCCCCTCGACTTTTCCTCCTGCATGTCCTTCCGTTTCCCGTTGCTCCGTTTACCTGTCACTGCCAGCCCGCCAGCCGCTTCATCTTCATTCCCCGTTCATGAATAATCCCTGCGACACTTGCGTTTTATGGCTTTGCATAGTTAGGACCTGTTAAAGGAGGGACCTGTTCCTGGACAGTGTGCTCAGGCAGCTCCCCTCTTAGCCGGCGCTTATCTGGACCTGGAGAGTTGGATCTGCAGCTGCACAGTAAAAAAAGTCATTCATAAACTGTCCTGGTGCATTTGCACCACTTGAAAAATGTAGCAGTTGTAAGGATCGTAATATCTTGCCCTGCCTGCCACATTTGAGTAGTATTTTGCTTAGCATTTGCTGAGAAGTTACCCCCATTTTCTCCGAGTGCACAGCGAGCCGGGAACGAGAGCAGGAAGCCAACAACAGGTTGCGTGCCAATGCAGTTTTTCATCGTGAAATGTCGGCGCTGATAGCGATTGTAATTATTGTGCTGGACTGCGGGTATCCAAGCTGCAAGGGTATTCGCTTTTCCGAGAGGCAGAATGGTTCCATTTCAGGTCCTGGCCACTCTAGCTTGTTTCCCATTCTTGCGCCCTCTGGTTGCTATCCACTCTCAGACGCATAAACGCCGCTAGTTATGCAATAAATAAAATACAATTGTTGCGTCAGAAGGGCTACATAGATTGCTCAGAGTGGCGGGGGGGAGTGGCTTTTTGGCTCTGGGCTTTTGCCGCCATGTTTGCGAACAACAGCAGAATGGCGCCCGCATCCGTTATAGCCAAACATCCAATTCCGCGCTTACACACTTTCGCTGCTTCTGTTGCTGGGCGTCTGCTACACTTCCGGTTGGAAAAGTTGTTGCGTTGTGTGCTCCTTCCACTTCCGCTCCCACGGCTTTCCCAGCTCCTCTGGCTCACTTCTGGCGCCACTTTAATTTGACAAACCATCGCATTTAACGGGCTCGCACAGGCAGCGACATCAAGGCGAAAGGTCAAGGAGGTGGCATAAATAATGCAGCGAACAAGGAAAACGACAAAGTTGCCAAAGACTTGGGCTGCTGTTGCTGCCTTGCTGCTGTTTCTGGCCAGAACTCACTTGGCCAGCATAGAAATTGCAGTTTACAGTTGCTAATTGAGTGTGCCGAGTCTGTGCAGGTGGCCTAATGTTGGTAATTAGTGCGAGCCAACTTTGCCAAAAAGATTCCGGCCCAAAGTTGCGCAGGATGGGCATTTGACAATTGTGTTAGTTGCCGGCGTGTCCGGAAAATATATGTATGCCTGAGATTGGATAACAATGGATTATGTTTAGCAATTGTAATTCAATTTAAATCACGCCATAGTTGGGAATGATTCTACTCAGAGTAATTTGTCAGTTTATTGTTGGTTTACTCATGCTGCTTGATGCTAAACGCCAAACTGGTTCAAATTTCGACAAACCATTATGTCTAGCAAAATTGGGAATCACCGAATGTACATGGAATGACTTTCCGGTGAAACACATTTAGGCCCATACAGAGATCTGCACTCCTGGCTAACTGGAATAGCATGTACAGGCTGGTTGTGCATTCAGTTCAAACTCGATTAAAGCCACGCACAACGACATCGGGATAATGCAGTTGTTTTGGGAATATATCTGGCCAGTTAATGGGCAATCCGAGAGATTTCGAGCGCCTGCAGGCAGCTCCTACCGATGCAGGACACGTGTGCGTGCTTTGTCTGGCCAGAGAGGACAACGAGGAGAAGTTGCCACATGTGGCAAATTAACTTTAAATTAAGCAATTAATTTAATTAGAGCACGGCGAGTGCACAGTGCGACCCCAAAGATTTGCCGCACACGCAACAGTTGCAATTAAGCAGCCTTCGCACACAGATGTCCCCACACAAATACCAATGCAAGTGCAGTCGCAGTAATGCACTCCCCCACTCACACATGCATACGCGAGAGAACGTAAAACAATGCTGTTTCAGCTGCAATTGCATTTTAAGCGCATGCGGAAATTACAAACTCAAATTGATAAAGCAAAACCTGTGCACATGTGTGGCAATACGGCATATGGCAATAATAAACCTGGTTATATAAGGTGAAAAATTGGCTTACGCCTGGGACTGCAGCATTGCTAAAGAAATGCGAGTGCCAGCGCATATAAAATCGAAATGCAATTCATTTCTCCATTAACCAATTAAACGCAATTCATCAGCTGACGTTCGCAATTTGCAAAAATAAAAAAGAGGGAACCAAACTATTAATAAGGGATGTGTGTAAAAACTTTTACAATTTTAAATTTCCACTGACAGTCGACATTGAAAGGGTTTTTAAGTCAAACGGAAATTTGTTTTCAATTAAGAGTTGATTTCAATTTAACTGCCGTCCCCCTGAAGTTGAAATGTATTTCATAGCGGCGCAGTAACTCAAAGTGAAAAATCTCAAAGTTAAAAATAAATACTGCGGTAATATGCGAATTTTAAATAAATGTATGCTACGACTTTTCATAAGCTGCTTAACTTTCCTTTTCTTGCCGAACTCTCAACAAAAATCGCTGTTTTTACTTTAAGGTATATTCTTGCATTGTCAAGTTCACAAAGCAGTAAGTAAACTCTTTAATATACTGGGTTTCAGTCAATGTATTTCACGCCAATGGCTTAGATCCAATTAGTGGCACTTAAACTATACCATAGAACTATATGGTAGTTAAAAATGTTAAGTCATCACTTTCTCAGCATTTTCGGGGTCATTCGCGACTACCAAAAACGGAAAGTTCATCCCCACCACAAGGTTGAACAGCTGGGTGCTATTAAAAAGAATGGGAGATAAAAATAAGAAAAAGTTAGACGATTGGTAAGCGGCTTAGTGGTCATTTTATACATCTATACATTTAGACTTACGAGATCGAGTCGAGGCACTTGCTCATCACATGATTTCGGCAGGGGTCGGGTTTCTTGGTTGTCGGTATCGAAGATCCTTGAACTTTGACCTTGTAAATGGGCGAGTTGTGACCCTTTGTCGCGGTGTTCTCAATGCTCTCGCGCAAAGTGGGTGGCGTTATGGCGGCAGTTGCATCCTCGGCCAAAATGGGTATATTTTTGGAGCGAGCATGGAGCTTGTGGTGCAGGTGCTTGGGTGTTCCACCGATTGGCGTCTCCACAATCATGAGGTTGTTCAGCCTGGACTTGGGCTTCGATACTGGGCTACTGCTGGCTGCAATGTCAGCCTGCAGACTTGAGCTTGAGTTGGCATTCGGCTGGGTGGCTTCGGTGGTATGGGCCACTGTAGATACAGTGCTCTCTGGCAGGGAGGCCGGTGTGGTGCTGGTTGTGGTGGTGCTACTGGTCTCTGTGGTTAGCCTGATCGGCTTGACGGTCAACGCACTGTCATCATAGTAGTAATCCTCCTCATCGTTATGCGTCTCCTGATTGAGAGATCGAAGATGTTATTTTTAGACCGCTGGCAACTTGTTAGCTGCATATCGGTTAACTGGTTTTCGGGCCCTCACTCACCTCGGCCAGTCCGTTCTTGCCCAACTCGATGATGGCCACATCCTTGATGCTAACATGGATGTTGAATCTGCCCGTCTGCCGCTGATCGAAAACCACTCGCCCTGAATCGGGCACTTCGCTGGTCGGCGGCGGCGTTTTGGCCTCCTCGATGGGCAGCGTTTGGGCCAGGCCAAAAGCCATCAGCATAAGTGATATCAGCAGCATTTTCAAATTGAAACCAGTTCTAAGAGCACACGAAAAGAATCTCTGCTGAAGGAACGACTGTTCTTCTCGAGGCCGCGATCACAACTGCTTTGGTCGCTGAGTATGATAGCTCTACTTAAAGGCCTAACAAAGTAGGCAACACTGGAATAAAATAGCAAGTGGATTTCACAACGACAATGAAGGGATCTGAATTAGACCGGTTTTATGACCGGGAAGCACGCGTTGTGCAAAAAATTCTGAAAACAAAACTGCATCCTAGTACTTCTCCTAAAACTCTCTTAGTTTGTAAATGTAATTGTTTTGTGGGAATTACCATTCAAAGTGTGCAACTCTCAACCCGACGCCCTCTTCCATATACTTTTTCCTTTGAACCCATTTATTATTTTCAAGAAATGGCAAAATCGACCTACGCAAACTATTGCAAGGCTCTATGCAAATAACCTGTATTTATATCTTCATCTAATGGGAACCGATAGAAATGCATTCAAATGTGCTGTGCCAACGCACATTTAAGCTGTTCTATATGGAGTCCAATGCATGTATATACATAAATATATGTTTAGAATATTTACCCTTTACTAGGCAAACACAAACGCCACCTTTGAGGTGCTAACAAGCTGTTCAGAAGAGCTGGAACTAAGTGACCAACAGTTTGGCTAATACCAAATGCATATAATCATAAGTGTAAACAGATAGACATCCGAGCAAATAGTGAGCCAGTCCAGTTGAGTTCATTTGAGGACTGTTGATGTGGGTGAGTGACATGGGAATGGTTCAAGAACGTTTAAACATTTAAATGGGCGTTGAAGCTTCCCACCTATATTCATTAGAAAGTAATAAATGGGCAAGATAGAAAATTATGTACCAGCCTTGGACGACGTACCAATCATAATTTGCCAGCAGGCGCAGTTCATCGAAAGTTCATTAATTAATCCAGCTATCGAGTCCAGAGTTTTCGGCCTTCAATTATCAGCTATTGAGTAATTAGGAGGTCAGTTCCCGGTGTGGCCAATCAACGTACCGCCTCCATTTACATAACACCTAACCACTAATTATGCAATTATGCAAGCCAGTTTCTGGGAAATCATATGCCAAGACCGCATCTCGAACGCCGAGTTCCCTCATTTGTATGCAGCGCCATGCAGAGTGCAAAATCAGCATTTCTCATTAGATGGAATCCTCAGAGCCAGAGCCAGAGCCAAGAAGAAATGTATAACCTCAAAAAATTAGATTAATTTGAAATGAAATTTCATCCAACTGCCCGCGGTTTCCACTTTTCTTCGGGGCTGGGTGGCATTCGTAATTAGTTTTTAGCGAATTCTGGGCCGCAAACATTTCAAGGTTTAATGCATGGCTGGCCAGCCTTGAGAAAACTTTTTCGTCTTTTGGGTCAGACCCCTGTCAAGCTCAGTCTGGAAAAAATAAAATTAAAGGACGCAAAAGGGTAGAAGGATGCTGGCCGCATATGAAGTGTATAAATTACACTTCATCATGAATTTATTATCAGTGCTGCAGCAGCTGCATCTGGAGCTGCCACGAATGCTCCACTGCAGCACGCTGGCTCAGCACAAGATGTGCTCCTTCCGTTCTCACCTGCACACAAGCACAGTCACAACAAGGGGAAAGAGGACGCTTTGGACCGAAGGCACTGATACCCTTATGCTCAGTAAGAAAGGGTATCTCAAGGAAATAACTGGAGACTTTGTCATTCACAAACAAGTCTAAAAGTATGCAATTCAAAAACAATTTTTTCAGTATATAGTTAAGTATATATTTTATTATATATTTTATTATATATTTAAGTATATATTTAAGTATATATTTAAGAAAATATTTTTAAAAATAGTGCTGAATTATTCTCAGCAGCTTTACAAGAGATTTTGTATGCCCAATTGTCCGCAAAATAAATGTACATATATTAAAAAAGCAGATAGCTTTGTTAACGTTGTAAAACTTGGCTCATATTTCTTCACCTACTTTTTATGATTTTATATTTTATATAGCACCATATAAAATTGGAAATATCTATAATGCCCCAGGAAAGCTCATAAAAGGGGTGCTAAACACGCAGCGTGGCAACAACAGCGCTTGTGGGATGTTGACCAGGGCATGCATTTTTCGCGCCAGGAAACTTGAAATTGTGTAAACTCAGCAGAAAAATATTAATTCTAATTTCCAAAGCCATCCCAGACCAAGGACTTTCGTCTCGTCCTTTAGAAATGCTCGCCGTTTACAGCACCTTTAATTTTGCACTCTACGAAAGACTGAAGGAAATTGTTCGTCTGATTTCTTCCTTTTTTTTGCTCTATTTCCAGTCGTTACACAACCATTTTAAGCTTTCATCAATTAGCTCCTTGAAAGCAGAAAAAAGGTGGCAAACGTTGAGTAGCTTTTAGTGTCGTTAGATTGTCAAGAGAAGGATTATCCAAAAAAATGCTATCCCCTTTTTTGGAAGCTGTGCTTGCGAAACTAATTTTCAGGCACAGTTTGGTAAATCGCATTTTCAAGTGGATGAAAATGAGTGAAATGGACTGTAAAGTGCGAAAGCACCAGATGTTCATTTTCCAGATGTAAATTTTACACTCTTCTGAACGAGCAAGGAAAATACAAATTTGAGTAGTTGGCCTGCACCTGAAAACTGCTTCTGTCAGCCAATTAAACCTCAAAAAGACTATATTATTTGTCCTATTAAGCAAAGCATAAGATTTCATAGGGGACATTTGTTGATTAACTATCACATGTAGTATGTATACCATAAGAAAAGCCACTAGACAACCCGCATATAATTCAAGTACAAATAGTCAGGAAAATATTGGCATCTAACATGTATTATTTTCTACAATGGTAAAGGGACGTGTTGATATAAATCAGGCTTCTCTACATTCAGATTTTATCTGTTTATCTTGGCAAATAAATTACCCAATTTCAGAAAATTGGTTTTTCTGGCTTACTTCAAGGAATGTATTTATTAGTTGTTGGTATTTTTAAATATAGTTATGCCAAAGACACTAGAATAATAAGATGCGTAACGGCCATACATTGGTTTTGCACTACGCAGCCACTCTTTTGGTGGCGGCAGTAATTGCGCTCTAAAAATAGAATTCACTTGCTTGTGTGAGTGAAAACAGTAAACAAAAAAGTTGTGCTAGAAGACGATTTTCGGTCCGAAATCAATTTTGATCTAAGAAACTAATTTGATTAATGTTTTGGTCAATTTCGTTGTAATATGAGCTAAATATTATTTAAAAATTGATGCCGTGACTATTATTTTCTTTTAAGAAGTTGTTTTAATATTCTTTAGTTAAAATCGCCGCTCGAATTAGCTACCGTTTACATATAAATATTTTTATTATTAATTATCTGTAATATTATATATGTATTTTTTGGTACCCAGGGAACACCACGGGGAGGACATTACAATTGTAATGGGGTCGTATATTTATATGACCTTCGAGTCGACTTAAAATAATAAATGTTAAACATAAATGTATGTATGAATGTATGTATGTATGTATGTATGTATGTATGTATGTATGTGTGTATGTATGTATGTATGTATGTAGTGTATGTGTTACTTGCATAAAGTAGTGAAAATTGTCTCAATTAAAGCCTGAAGAATGTTTAACTTACTGTCGGAACACAAAGTTATTGCCGCTTTTGATATTTGTTCAGGAAAAATTTCGTCTTGTAGCCCTATAATTCCCAACTAGTTCTAGCGCGGGCGGTAAGGCATGTCTGCTAATTTCGAGTCGAAAGTAGTCCAAGTAATCCTCTTGTCGGTCGAGCAGCGAGTGTATGTGTATGTGTAGTGTATGTACGTACGTATGTACGTATGTATGTATGTATGTACGTATGTACGTACGTATGTACGTATATATGTATGTATGTATGTATGTACGTATGTATGCATGTATGTATGTATGTATGTATGTATGTATGTATGTATGTATGTATGTATGTATGTATGTATGTATGTATGTATGTATGTATGTATGTGTGAATGTATGTGTGAATGTATGCAGGTATGTATGTATGTACGTATGTAGTGTACATATGTTTTGCTAATAGTGAGGTCTTTAAAGTGAGTAGAAAAAATTGTCTAAATAAAGCCTCTTAAAACTTGAAACGCATTGGCACAATGTCAACGTATGAATCAAACGTATGAATCAAAATCTGTCCTGTTCTTCCATCCTATTTGAAATTTTCAGTCTATTTTTTCCGTTTTTTTTTCTTAATCTGTACTTTTTTCAAGAAAAATATTGGCATCACTGATGCGTATTCAAAACAAAAATTCGAGAGAGCCTGGAGCCAGCCCGAAAAAATCGTGTGCAAAAAAATCGTATGGCGTTACGCATCTTATTATTCTAGTGTCTTTGGTTATGCAAATGGAATTTAAATCACTTCTGGGTTCGGTAAATGCCAAAATATAAATGCTTTTCAGAAAAAATTTAATTTCTCTCTCACTTCTCCATATAAACAAATAAATATCAATGCCAAAGTCTAAAAATGTAATGTCATCAAGGCTGGGATTTTGGTTGATCAATGGTGAGATAATTATCTAAAACTGAATTATGAATGCAAACAAAAAATGGGTCCATCCAATGTTGTCAACGAGCATCTGTGTATGCACATTGGCCTTAAAATGTCGGCGTGCTATTCAACAAAGGTGGCACAATGAAAAAAATTAATTCGATAATTAAACACAGTGCGTTCATCGTTTTAATCTCTGCGCACATTTTGCATATTAATCACTTAATTAGGTTAACATTATTAAAATAAACACGCCTGTCTCTCTGCCGTTTTTGCGTTCGTATTTATCAGGTAAACACACAATGGCACATACGCACATACTATGTACATATCATGTGACACAGGTGCTGGAAATGGTGGGCTTAAAGGCTCATTTAAGCCCTCAGTGTATGTGTGCGCCAACTATTCGTGCAGCCACCTAGCGGGCGCTTGATGTACTCCTGAATGGAGTATGCTCCTGCACGGTGAATAAATTTATTCATTGAAAAATCATAAAGCCAAATTTTGATAATTTTATCGTTTTTGGAAAAGCCCAAACATGCACGG